GGTCCCGGTGCTCCCAGACCCAGCGCTACCCCCCGCCGGGGCGCGGGGCAGGGCGAGGGGTGGGCAGCGGCGTCCCCGGGTGGGGGAAACGCTCCCGCACGAGCTCTGCGTGGTGGGAGCAGCTGTTCTCGTGTGCTGCGGCCCCGGGCCGAGGGCACGGTCACCACGGCGAGCGTTTTTCTGCTGGTGCAGCTAAAGCCAGCGTGTGGCATTGAGTGCGGTGGGGACAATCCTTTTGCTCCCGTCCTTGGCACTTAACCCTAAACTTACTGCAGGTACCCATTAACGTAAAAAATACAGGAAATAACACGACAATTATTAGAGATGTAGGGGTGAGCGGTAGCTTAGCACACGCTGGCGTTGTTCATGGTCGGGAAACAGGAGTTGTGATGGAGGGATGAGCTGTTTTCTGTGGAACTAAGGGTGGAGGAAACAACCCAAGTGCTGGGTAATGAATTGACTCTGTGTCGGTCACCCTTGGGCCGCCGGGCTGGCGTGTCCCCATCTGGAAGCGGAGCTGCCCTCCGTTGTTATTTAAGGCACGAGGGGAAGGACTCAGCCCTGGGACTGGCCTGACCCCTTGCCGGTGCTTTGCTGCTTCTTGAAATTTAGGTAGGCTAGGTTTTGTGCCCTGGGACTGGGTTCCGATACATTAAAAGTCCAAAGATGACCTTGTCTTTCTTTGCCCACTTCTTTCATTTTGCCTTTCTGTGATCACCGTTTGCCTACGCTGACATCGCTGCCACACACGCATTCCCTTGGCACGTGGCATTGCTGCCTGTTTACTACTCCTGCCGGATTACGCTCTTGGGTGGGGTTCTGGTCTCGGGCTGGGCCTGGTCCCTGAAGCTGGGTCTGTGAAATCTCGTGCCTGGAGGTCAGCTCTGTGCAGGGAATCACTGCCTAAAGAAGGTGGAGAATAGCGAAAGGACTGGGTCAAAACAGAAGGCAGCTACAGTGGGGGGCAGGCAGCATTTATTTGGAGGTGGATCACCTGTGGGACGCCTCGAGAATCATCCTTGAGACTGATTTTAGTGTTTGGGACCCCCCCAAAAAAGAAAGCATGTGAGACAACATGAATAGAAAACAGGAAGATGAGACTCGCACGGGAAGGCTTGGGAGAATATGAGGACATGAAATAGGAGTTAAGGAACATTTAATAACACGAGATCGTGCTCTCAGTTGGCATAAGAAGGATTTTTGCTGTACAGAGGGAGAAATCGTCACTGGAAGTGCTGTAGGAGGAAAAGGTTTCAGGTTGCCAGTGGATCACAAGACACTGGGTGTCTGTGCGGCGTGGCGTCTTCATAACAACACAGGAGCAGCAGCTCTTTACGTTAAAGCTCGCTGTTAGCACTGCAGTAAATTTTCGTACCCAAGAACAGTGCTGCGGGTGCAGAGACTCTTCATGTCCCTCCGGTTGGCTGCTTGGGGTGGGGGGTCCGGGGCTGGGCTCCGGGGTGCAGCTGAAGGTCTGACTCCGCTTTGCTTCCTGTGCAGTCAGAAAACGCCAAGTCCGAGAGCACGTTCCAGGTGACGATGCTGCCCGGGGACGGGGTGGGCCCCGAGCTCATGCACGCGGTCAAGGAGGTGTTCAAGGTAACGGCCCCTCGCGGGCGGGGGCACAGGCTGGGGGGAGCAGCAGCTGCTGGTCCAGAGACCCCCCAGGACCAACCCGTCTGTCTCCTCCAGAGCCGGCTGTGAGAGCCCTGGGACCCCTCCCTTTCCATAAATAGAATCCTAGGACAGTTTGGGTGGGAAGGGACCTTAAAGCCCATCCAGTCCCACCCCCTGGCCACGGGGCCACCTTCCAAAGCCCCGTCCAACCTGGCCTTGAACCCTTCCAGGGAGGGGGCAGTCACAGCTTCTCTGGGCAGCCTGTGCCAGGGCCTCACCCCCCTCACAGGGAACAATTTCTGCCTTAGATCTGATCTAAATCTCCCTCTGTCAGTTTAACCCCGTTCCCCCTCGTCCTATCCCTCCCCCCTGATGACAAGTCCCTCTCCCCGTTCCTGCAGCCCCTTTCAGCCCTGGGGGCCGCTCTAAGCTCTCCCTGGAGCCTTCTCTCCTCCAGCTGAACCCCCCAACTCTCTCAGCCTGTCCTCACAGGGGGGCTCCAGCCCCCCCAGCATCTCCATGGCCTCCTCTGGACCCAGTGCTGTCAGCAGAGTGGCCGAGGGTGCCCTCAGTACCGCTGTCACTGGGACCGTGTCCCGGGGCCGGCAGTCTGGGTCTGTCTCACTCGTCCCTTCCCGCTCTGCTGCTGGGGATGGGGAGGACACGGACCGTCCTCGCTGCTCCTGGCGGGAGCGTGGCCGCAGGGCTGTCATCGTCCAGCTGTCCAGAACCTTTTGTGTCCTTCTGACCCTCCTGCCCTGTGCTGCTGACCCTGAGGTCCCAGTTCAGCAGTTCACCAGCCCGGTTCCCCCGTTTCGCTGCACGGGCAGTCTGGCTGGTCCCGGGCATCGCGTCTGAGCCCCCGTGTCCCCCCCTGCTGCTAACATGTAACATAACCCCCCGGCCGGGTCTGTCTCTGCGTCTCGCCCAGGCTGCCAGCGTCCCTGTGGTCTTCGACGAGCATCACCTGAGCGAGGTGCAGAACATGGCATCGGAAGAGAAACTGGACCAGGTCGTTGATTCTATGAAGGAAAGTAAAGTCGCCCTTATAGGTGAGGACCCGGGCGGGGGCTCTGGCCTGCCCTGCCTGCGGGGGGGCTGCCCTGGCTCAGGAGCCCTTGGGTGCTTCAGAGGGCAGGAGTCTCTGTGCTTAGGCCCTGGAGAAGGAATCTCGCTGTCTTTAAGCCAATTAGAGGTACTCGGAACTCCCCAAAGGGGAGGTTAAACCCAGCTTCTGCTTTTGGCACAAGATCCCCTCGTATGGCCCAAAGGGCCTCGGCAGGGTCCTGTATAGGGAGGGATCAGTCTCCACGCTGGGCTGAGGTTCTCTGAAGTACCCCTTCTGCCCTTTCCCCAGCCCCTTCACCCCCTGTCCCAGCCCTTTCTGCCCCCCACCGGGGTTCAGGTGATGCCTGTAGCAGCTGTCAGTGCGCTCTGTGCTCCGTGTCCTTACTCCGGCTCCGTGTCCCCCCGCAGGCAAGATCCACACCCCCATGGAGTACAAGGGCGAGCTGGCTTCTTACGACATGAGGCTCAGGTGAGCTCCTTCCCCTGCTCGGCTGCCGCGTCCCTTGTGGGAAAGGGTCTTGTGTTTGGTCCCCCGGGCCCGAAGGGAGCAATTCTGGGCCAGACGGGGAGTGAATGTGTTACCGGGAAGTAAAAGCTCTGACTCTGCTGCTGCTTCTCCCGCAGGCGCAAGTTAGACTTGTTCGCCAACGTCGTCCACGTGAAGAGCCTGCCAGGCTATAAAACCCGCCACAACAACTTGGACCTGGTGATTATTCGTGAGCAGACGGAGGGGGAGTACAGCTCTCTGGAGCACGAGGTGCGTGGGGGGGTATTGCTGGAGGAGGGGACCCTGCCCCAGGGCGTCAGGCTTGCTCCCGCTTTCTGTACCAGAGCGGTTCTGCACGGCCGGGGGGCTGCGGTGCAGGACCCGTAATGGGAAAAAACCTGCCAGGAGGGTGCAGAGAGGGGGGATGAGTCTCTGGAGCCAAGGCGCCAGCGCCAGGCCCCGAGGGAATGGCCTCAAGCTGCCCAGGGCAGGGTCAGGCTGGCTCTGAGGAAGGATTTCTGTGCAGAAGGGGCTGTTGGGCGTTGGAATGGGCTGCCCAGGGCAGGGGGGAGTCCCCGGGATCCCTGGAGGGGTTGAAGAGTCGGGCTGAGCCAGCGCTGATATTATTAGATATATGATATGGTTAGAAATGCAAGCCTGGGGAAAAAATGATTAAGAAGCAAAAAATTTGTGGCTGTTGAAGCTTTTGTTTAAAAAGTAGTTAAGACCCCTGGTCCCTGCCACCACAGTGGGGGCTGCGGCGGCCGCTGACGCTCCCTCCCCTGCACAGAGCGCCAAGGGGGTCATCGAGTGCCTGAAGATCATCACCCGCGCCAAGTCCCAGCGCATCGCCAAGTTCGCCTTCGACTACGCCACCAAGAAAGGGCGCTCCAAGGTCACGGCCGTGCACAAAGCCAACATCATGTGAGTGCTGCAGAGCGGCCTTGGAGCCCGCCGCCGCATCTGGGACCTCGCGCTTGGGGTTTTGACCCCAAAAAAATGCCAGCGAGGCCGGATTTTCCCTGGGAAGAGGGCTTTTTCCTCTCTCCGCTCTTGTCCCCGGTCCGAGGCCCATCCTGGGGGCTGGCAGCCGCGCAGGGGAGAGGCTGAGCCCTCATTGCTCCCCCTGGGCCCCACCTGCTGGGGGGGGGGCGACACCGGTTGCCGCTGGGTCACCGGCTGCTGTGATGATTTTCCCAGCCCCATTAATGTGTTCCTTGTCTCGCAGGAAATTAGGCGACGGGCTCTTCCTGCAGTGCTGTGAAGAAGTGGCAGAACTGTACCCCAAGATCAAATTTGACACCATGATCATCGACAACTGCTGCATGCAGGTGAGAGGCTGTTCCCCGGCCCCGCAGCTGTTCTGCTGAGCCAGGAGGGGCTGAAACCTGAAAAGCTGCTGCTGTGGCCCCAGGTTTGCCCCTCACACATGGCAGGAGCCTTCTCCCTGCTCTGCTCAGCCAGGAGCTGCAGGGGTTGAAGGTGGCAGCAGCAATTAGAACTGTAGAATCACAGAGCTTGGAAAAGACCTTTCAGGTCCTTGCGTCCAACCATTTTAATGTGGTGCTGCCAAATCCACCACTAAACCCTGTCCCCGAGTGCCACATCCACAGCTTTAAATACCTCCAGGGACAGAACTCCAGCCCTTCCCACGCTTGACAACCCTTTCAGGGGGAGAAATTTTCCCTAATATTCAACCCAAGCCTCCCGTGGCACAAACTAAGTCTTGTCTGGGCTTACAGAACTCTGCCAGGCGCTCGCTGGGTCTGCGGCTCCCCCGAGCTTGGCCTGGGGGGTGTCTGCAGACACGGTGGGTTCTCACATCCTCCCTCCCCTCGTGCAGCTGGTGCAGAACCCTTACCAGTTCGACGTTCTGGTCATGCCCAACCTCTACGGAAACATCATCGATAACCTGGCAGCCGGTTTGGTGGGCGGTGCCGGTGTGGTGCCCGGCGAGAGCTACAGCGCCGAGTACGCCGTGTTCGAGATGGTGAGGGGCCCTGGGGGCCATTACCTGCACCCTGGGGATGGGCTGGGGGGGTTGCAGGGGCTGGGGGAGAGGGTCTGTCACTTTTTTGTCCCGCAGGGCGCCCGCCACCCCTTTGCCCAGGCCGTGGGCAGGAACATTGCCAACCCCACAGCCATGCTGCTCTCGGCCGCAAACATGCTGCGGCACCTCAAGTAGGTGCCTCTCCCCGGGGGGGGTGTGGGCAGCGCTGCCTCGGCCGCAGGGGCTGACCCGCCCCTCCTCTCCTCTCCCCAGCTTGGAATTCCACTCCAATCTGATCTCGGACGCGGTGAAGAAGGTGATCAAAGTGGGAAAAGTGAGTAATCGCACGAGTGGTCGTGGGGGACGAGCTGCTCCATGTCCTCCCCCAATGCCAGTGCCCGGCTCCGGCCTCCTCCAGCTCGGAAAGCCGGGGGGGCTGGCTGGGGCTGTCCTCAGCCAGCCCCCCCCCCCCCCCCCCC